TTTTCAGTAAAAAACTGTAAGGATCATGCAAATTTCCGGATTGAAAATAATTTTAAGTATGACGACTAACCACATGACAGTCACATGACTTATTGACCTGAATGTGAACTTCACATGCAAAAAGTCTTCAGGCATATCTATAGAATATTTGTTTATTTTTAATAGATTCCTTTGGAGAGTAGAAAAGGTATTAGTGAAAGGGTACAAAAATGTGATATCAAATAGAAAAACGTAAATACTTATTTGTAATAACTTTATTTGGAACAACTTCGCCACACGTGGAATTACTTGTTATTGTAACTAAGTATAGCAGCCGATTATGACGTCACGCGAGCACGCGCAGCATACAGGAAGTGAAAGTAGGATTAGGTCGAAAACGTAAGACGGTCGAAAACACAATACGAGACGATACAATCTTCCATGTTAAACTGTTGTAGTTTAAACAAATCTTGTCCGTTTTTCAAGTTTGTTACATTATTTGATTTCTTTCTGAAGGTAGAAGTTTTATATGATACAGCGCCACCTTGTAATTGATAAACTAGGGATTTCCCACAGGTGCTTTATAATTACCTTCCTCGATAAAATCATGTGACTGATAAGAAATTCCAGATGCCATTTTACAACAGCGTTACCACAGATAATAACTAAAGGCGTCTTGTCGCTGAGACAATATTTGGAAAAAAATCATATGACTTTAGTACAGAGCTCTGCAGGTCATTAATATATGCTAATTTATTGTTGTTATTCGTTCTCATTTTACTTCCATGGTCAAATTTATTTGTTCACTGTATGTTCTTCTGGTGTTAATGTCTTGATTGAGTTAAGCCATTTCAATTGATATTTTATATGTCTTTCTATGTTGTGATGTTACACTATTGTTTCAGATAAGGGTGAAGGTTTGGTACCATTAAAACGTTTAAACCTGCTGCTATTGTTTGCACCTGTCCTAAGTCGATCAGGAATCTGATGTTCAGTAGTTGTAGTTTGTTGATGTGGTTTCTCGTTTTTCGTTTTTATACCCCCGCTTTAAAAAAGTGGGGATAAACTGTATTACCTCTGTCTGTTCTTCGTCAGTCCATCCGTCCCATGAATATTTTCGTCGCATTTTTATCAGGAACTACTTGACAAGGATTTCTGAAATTTGGTTTCAGGGTATATATAAAAAAGTTACACCGTATGATGCGTTTTCAGATTCATCACTCAACAACTTCCTGTTTACCGAACACTTGTATTATTTTATACATGATAGCCAAGTTGAAAATTTTCGTCACATTTTTCTCAGGAACTACTTGACAGGGATTTCTGAAATTTGGTTTCAGGGTTTATATATAAGTAATTAGTTACACCGTGTGATGCGTTTTCAGATTAATCACTCAACAACTTCCTGTTTACTGAACACTTGTATTGTTTTACACATCATCAGATAGCCATGCAAGTTGAAAATTTTTGTCACATTTTTCTCAGGAACTACTTGACAAGGATTTCTGAAATTTGGTTTCAGGGTTTATATAAGTCAGCTATACCGTGTGATGCGTTTTCAGTATCATCACTCAACAACTTCCTGTTTACCGAAATATTTCGGCGTTGGTATCATCAGAGAGCAGTAGCTCACAGTTTTTGTCGAGCCTGCAACTTTTGTCGCAGAAAGCTCGACATAGGGATAGTGATCCGGCGGCGGCGTTAGCTATATTCTTAAAAGCTTTATATTTTAGAAGGTGGAAGATCTGGATGCTTCATTCTTTGTATATGGATGCCTCATGTTACGAAGTTTCCGTCAGTCACATGTCCAATGTCCTTGACCTCATTTTCATGGTTCAGTGACTACTTGATAAAAAAATTAAGATTTTTTGTAATGTTAAATTCTCTCTTATTATAAGTAATAGGATAACTATATTTGGTATGTGCGTACCTTGCAAGGTCCTCGTGCCCGTCAGACAGTTTTCACTTGACCTCGACCTCATTTCATGGATCAGTGAACAAGGCTAAGTTTTGGTGGTCAATTCCATATCTCAGATACTATAAGCAATAGGTCTAGTATATTCGGTGTATGGAAGGACTGTAAGGTGTACATGTCCAACTGGCAGGTGTCATCTGACCTTGACCTCATTTTCATGGTTCAGTGGTTATAGTTAAGTTTTTGTGTTTTGGTCTGTTTTTCTTATACTATATGCAATAGTTCAACTATATTTGTTGTATGGAAGAATTGTTAGCTGTACATGACTGCCTAGCATGGTTCATCTGACCTTGACCTCATTTTCATGGTTCATTGGTCAATGTTTAGTTTACTTGGTTAATGTTAAGTTTATGTGACAGTTGTAATAAAGCTTTATATTGAGGACTATCAACATAATATCAATGATTAGTAAAGAAGGTGAGACATTTCAGCGTGTGCACTCTTGTACTTGTTTATATAGATTAGACTGTTGGTTTTCCTGTTTGAATGGTAATTTTTAGGACCCTTTATAGCTTGCTGTTCGGTGTGGACCAAGGCTTTGTGTTGAGGACCGTACTTTGACCTATAATGGTTTACTTTTATACATTTTGACTTGGATGGAGAGTTGTCTCATTGGCACTCATACCACATCTTCTTATATCTATCAAACATAACTACCAAAGTTGTCAATTGATCCCTTAAGGAGTTATTGCCTTTTATAGTAAATTTAAAAAAAATTAGACCTTGACTGAGGGGGCAGGGCCAAAAATTAAAAAAAATTAAAGTATTTAGAGCAAATCTGACATGGGGTAAACATGTTCATAAGGTCAATTAAGTTTTATCAGCCTTAAGTGATATTCCTACCTTTTTTCAAATGAGGCCTGGGCCCTAGCCAATTGGTAGAAATGTGTCGTATATAACATGTTAATTGGGGAAAAAAATAAATCATCGTTTTTATCATATCTTAATGAGGTTATTTATTAAATTTCCAATTTTATGAACACATCAAATTCTTTTCTTGATGCATGTTAATATATATATCCAGGTTTTGACACTAGCTAAATTTCTTTACTAGCCTAGAGGGCTATTTAATTTTTTTTTAAAGTCCTCCCTCAACTCTGCTAGCCCGTCAAATTCTGCATTTGGCACGACTCATATGCTACGGGTGTCTGATGGCATGCCCCCCACCAGAAAATTTAAAAATAATTGAAGCTATATCATGTGACCTTGGACATTTCCAGATGTTTTTCATGATGAATTAACTGGTTTGCTAATAAAATGTAGAGACAAAACAATTTATTTTTAATCATCTGCATTAAGAGTCTGTATGCAGTGATCTGGAAACATTTAGTCTCTATGAGCCAAGGGCTCCCTCATATAAATTTGAATGGACAAATTTGAACATGAATAGGCCATGAGAACATATGCATCGATAAGTAAAAAGTATATACTAAAACGGGAAAGTACTATCCATTACTCTCCATGATGACAACAAAATGAAGAATCAAATCTGGATACAGTGACTACAGACTAGTAGAAAAATTCATTCAAATTATTACAACTGATTTAACCACTTTTAATAATCATCAAAATTAGAAAGAGATAATTAAAGATTCGTTTCTATTCCCATGAATTCCGAGTGTAAATGGACTGCCATATTTTTTATGCTACATGAGTTTAATTAATACCATTTAGTGCACTTCCGTGGCTTGATTGACTGTTTAATTAATATTATCATCACAACTAACAGAAGAAAATAATGCATTGACCAGCTTTGGCATGTTTACAAAATTTATAAATAAACCAAAGACCAAAAAATTAACAAAGACAGTTAAGCGCATTTTATGGAGACAAAAACTAAATTTAGAATAAATGCTCAATGTTTTCTTAATCCAAATTAATAGTAATCATACTTTCAATACTTTTATTGGAAGAAAAATAATCGACTGTAGTAGGAAACTTTCATAGAATTAAAATTGTTTCCTTTGAAAATTTAGATCATGCATGGTTATTGACGTTTTTCCGGTTTTCAGATGAACCATGCAAAACTTTAAACTGGTTCCCAAAATATATGATGATATTCTATCTACGGATGGACATATTTTTCTTCGGGAACAGTACAACAACCTATATTTTGAACCAAATCATACAAACGATAAAATTATCAATTAATTATCTTTCTGCTACAACTTGATTAAATGGTGGGAATTTTACGTGTTCATTTGGGAAAAATTTAGGTTTTTATACGCCCGTCAAAATTTTCACTGGACGTATTATGGTATACAAAGGTATACAAATGTTGTCTGTCCGGCGTAAACATGTCTCATCGTATGATACATTTGGTCTGAAACAATCCAGTGACATCTTATAGGAGTTATTGCCCCTGAAATGTTTAATTTTAAGGTAAATTGATTATTACTTCAGATTGGTACATGCTAAAGCAATAAGGTCTTTTAGAAAAAGTTGTGACATGACCTTGAAAAATATCAACCGGAAGTGACCTTGGGTGAACCGGAAGTAGTCATTTTTACACTTATTTTATGTAAAAATATATAGAAACCATATATTTTTTGAATGGTCATACATTAACCTATCATTTGAGACCAGAAGTGACATTTTATAGACCGGAAGTATCATATCATCTCCCTTATTACATGCACAAGTATATACAAACTATATATTTTGGAAATTAGTGTGAATAAAGCTATCGAATGAGACCGGAAGTTACATTTTCGAAACCGAAAGTTGACAATATCTCCCTTATTTCAGGCAAAAGTCTATAGAAACCGTATATATTTTTAATCAGTATGAAGAAACCTATGATTGGACGCCAATAGTAGCTTTGAGTAAACCAGAAGTAGCATCTTATCAATTATTCAGAAAACTAATGTTGAAAAAAAAAAACCTTCAATTGTTCTTTAAACAATTGGTTTTTAATTGAAAATATACTTGTGTCCAATTTAGGATTTGACATAAAATATGAGTGACATTTATTTTATAATTGATTGTAACAGCCATTAGTCTCTATTTGAAGCTGATACTAATTGATGATTTGTTTTTTTTTCAGAAACAGCCTAAATATGTTACACTTCTAGACAATGAGGCTTTCATGGTATATAGCACACAGAGATTTGAATCATGTAGGTATTTGGTCATTATATTTGTACTTTTAACTCTTTTTATATGTGTTGGGTAACAAAAAAAAAGCTGATGTTATGTTATAGGTTTTGTTGGAAACAGCCGAAATATGTTGCACTCCTAGACAGAGAAGATGGAGTCATGGCAGATATGAAGAGTCAACATGTAAGTATTTGGTCATTACAATTGTACTTAAAACTATGTTAATATTTGGAAGTCAATAAAAATCTGTTTTCACTGAAACAATAGCTTAAAATTTTATTACAAATGGGTCTAAAATATCTTATTCGAATTTCAAATGTGGTATATTTTAATAAGAATGAAAGAGTAATTGTAAATTAATTGTCCAAAATTTAAGATTTGACATGAAACATGAATCACATTAATTTTTTATTTTTTCAACAGCCATTAAATATTCTCTAAAGCTGATGTTAATTTAATTTTTTTCTTTTGTAAAAGATACAGCCCAGATATGTTCCACTCCCACACATTCAAGATGGTTTGGTGGTAGATGGCACATGAGGATGTTTGACATGTAAGGATTTAGTCATTACAATTGTACTTTAGACTATGTATGTGTTGGGTAATAAATATCAATTTTCCCTGGAACAACAGCTTAAATAAAATTTTATTTCAAATTAGTTTACATATTTCTTTTGTTCAAATTTATAATCTAGTGAAGTAAATTTTAACATGAATGCGTTGTAATTAGGTCTCACCACTTAGACCTATTGTATTTGTTCTGATTATTATTTTTGTTTTCATCACCAAACCCTTTTCTTGCGGTATAAAATTGTTTCGCAAGATGTTGCTTAGATATTATTTTGTATATGATATCGAACAGTTATTGCGCTTTTTAAACATCTCTCTAAGGCGAAGACTTTTTTATTGTAAGAGTTATCTCCCCAAACACTTTTACTTGTGAGTGTATCTCCTCCGTAACCAAAAAAGATAACGACAAAATTCTTTTTCATATTTGTTCGTTACATCCTCTGAAATTTTTGGCTGATTTGGATTGAAGCGATCCAGTGAAATTTGATAGGAGTTATCTACCTTTATCAATTATATTTGTCGTTATGTTTTTGTAACTCGTAAACCGTAAGCCGTATAAACCTAAAGTCTTTTTATTTGAGGTCCTTGGGGCCTAACTTAGAAAATGAGGTCAAGGTCATGTTCTCAATTTTGTTTTTTGCTTGTTTTTGCATTTTCTTTGATATTTTTAACGTCATATAAAAGAACTAGTGCAAAATGTTTGTTTTATTATGATGAAGATATGATACATTTGGTCTGAAACAATCCATTGACATGTTATAGGAGTTATTGCCCCTGAAATGTTTAATTTTAAGGTAAATTGATTATTACTTCAGATTGGTACATGCTAAAGCAATAAGGTCTTTTAGAAAAAGTTGTGACATGACCTTGAAAAATATCAACCGGAAGTGACCTTGGGTGAACCGGAAGTAGTCATTTTTGCACTTATTTTATGTAAAAATATATAGAAACCATATATTTTTTGAATGGTCATACATTAACCTATCATTTGAGACCAGAAGTGACATTTTATAGACCGGAAATAGCATATTATCTCCCTTATTACATGCACAAGTATATACAAACTATATATTTTGAGAATTAGTGTGAATAAAGATATCGAATGAGAACGGAAGTTACATTTTCTAAACCAGAAGTTGACAATTATCTCCCTTATTTCAGGCAAAAGTCTATAGAAACCGTATATTTTTTGAATCAGTATGAAGAAACCTATGATTGGACGCCAATAGTAGCTTTGAGTAAACCAGAAGTAGCTTCTTATCAATTATTCAGAAAACTAATGGTGAAAAAAAAACCCTTTCTTTGAACAATTGGTTTTTAATTGTAAATATACTTGTGTCCAATTTAGGATTTGACATAAAATACGAGTGACATTTATTTTATAATTGATTGTAACAGCCATTAGTCTCTATTTGAAGCTGATACTAATTGATGATTTTTTTTTTTTCAGAAACAGCCTAAATATGTTACACTTCTAGACAATGAGGCTTTCATGGTATATAGCACACAGAGATTTGAATCATGTAGGTATTTGGTCATTATATTTGTACTTTTAACTCTTTTTATATGTGTTGGGTAACAAAAAAAAAACTGATGTTATGTTATAGGTTTTGTTGGAAACAGCCGAAATATGTTGCACTCCTAGACAGAGAAGATGGATTCATGGCAGATATGAAGAGTCAACATGTAAGTATTTGGTCATTACAATTGTACTTAAAACTATGTTAATATTTGGAAGTCAATAAAAATCTGTTTTCACTGAAACAATAGCTTAAAATTTTATTACAAATGGGTCTAAAATATCTTATTCGAATTTCAAATGTGGTATATTTTAATAAGAATGAAAGAGTAATTGTAAATTAATTGTCCATAATTTAAGATTTGACATGAAACATGAATCACATTAATTTTTTTAATTTTTTCAACAGCCATTAAATATTCTCTAAAGCTGATGTTAATTCAATTTTTTTCTTTTGTAAAAGATACAGCCCAGATATGTTCCACTCCCACACATTCAAGATGGTTTCGTGGTAGATGGCACATGAGGATGTTTAACATGTAAGTATTTAGTCATTACAATTGTACTTTAGACTATGTATGTGTTGGGTAATAAATATCAGTTTTCCCTGGAACAACAGCTTAAATAAAATTTTATTTCAAATTAGTTTACATATTTCTTTTGTTCAAATTTATAATCTAGTGAAGTAAATTTTAACATGAATGTGTTGTAATTAGGTCTCACCACTTAGACCTATTGTATTTGTTCTGATTATTTTTTTTTTTTCTTCACCAAACCCTTTTCTTGCGGTATAAAATTGTTTCGCAAGATGTTGCTTAGATATTATTTTGTATATGATATCGAACAGTTATTGCGCTTTTTAAACATCTCTCTAAGGTGAAGACTTTTTTATTGTAAGAGTTATCTCCCCAAACACTTTTACTTGTGAGTGTATCTCCTCCGTAACCAAAAAAGATAACGACAAAATTCTTTTTCATATTTGTTCGTTACATCCTCTGAAATTTTTGGCTGATTTGGATTGAAGCGATCCAGTGAAATTTGATAGGAGTTATCTACCTTTATCAATTATATTTGTCGTTATGTTTTTGTAACTCATAAACCGTAAGCCGTATAAACCTAAAGTCTTTTTATTTGAGGTCCTTGGGGCCTAACTTAGAAAATGAGGTCAAGGTCATGTTCTCAATTTTGTTTTTTGCTTCTTTTTGCATTTTCTTTGATATTTTTAACGTCATATAAAAGAACTAGTGCAAAATGTTTGTTTTATTATGATGAAGATAAGATACATTTGGTCTGAAACAATCCATTGACATGTTATAGGAGTTATTGCCCCTGAAATGTTTAATTTTAAGGTAAATTGATTATTACTTCAGATTGGTACATGCTAAAGCAATAAGGTCTTTTAGAAAAAGTTGTGACATATGACCTTGAAAAATATCAACCGGAAGTGACCTTGGGTGAACCGGAAGTAGTCATTTTTGCACTTATTTTATGTAAAAATATATAGAAACCATATATTTTTTGAATGGTCATACATTAACCTATCATTTGAGACCAGAAGTGACATTTTATAGACCGGAAATAGCATATTATCTCCCTTATTACATGCACAAGTATATACAAACTATATATTTTGAGAATTAGTGTGAATAAAGATATCGAATGAGAACGGAAGTTACATTTTCTAAACCAGAAGTTGACAATTATCTCCCTTATTTCAATTTCAGGCAAAAGTCTATAGAAACTGTATATTTTTTGAATCAGTATGAAGAAACCTATGATTGGACGCCAATAGTAGCTTTGAGTAAACCAGAAGTAGCTTCTTATCAATTATTCAGAAAACTAATGGTGAAAAAAAACCGCTTTCTTTGAACAATTGGTTTTTAATTGTAAATATACTTGTGTCCAATTTAGGATTTGACATAAAATACGAGTGACATTTATTTTATAATTGATTGTAACAGCCATTAGTCTCTATTTGAAGCTGATACTAATTGATGATTTTTTTTTTTCAGAAACAGCCTAAATATGTTACACTTCTAGACAATGAGGCTTTCATGGTATATAGCACACAGAGATTTGAATCATGTAGGTATTTGGTCATTATATTTGTACTTTTAACTCTTTTTATATGTGTTGGGTAACAAAAAAAAAGCTGATGTTATGTTATAGGTTTTGTTGGAAACAGCCGAAATATGTTGCACTCCTAGACAGAGAAGATGGATTCATGGCAGATATGAAGAGTCAACATGTAAGTATTTGGTCATTACAATTGTACTTAAAACTATGTTAATATTTGGAAGTCAATAAAAATCTGTTTTCACTGAAACAATAGCTTAAAATTTTATTACAAATGGGTCTAAAATATCTTATTCGAATTTCAAATGTGGTATATTTTAATAAGAATGAAAGAGTAATTGTAAATTAATTGTCCATAATTTAAGATTTGACATGAAACATGAATCACATTAATTTTTTAATTTTTTCAACAGCCATTAAATATTCTCTAAAGCTGATGTTAATTCAATTTTTTTCTTTTGTAAAAGATACAGCCCAGATATGTTCCACTCCCACACATTCAAGATGGTTTCGTGGTAGATGGCACATGAGGATGTTTAACATGTAAGTATTTAGTCATTACAATTGTACTTTAGACTATGTATGTGTTGGGTAATAAATATCAGTTTTCCCTGGAACAACAGCTTAAATAAAATTTTATTTCAAATTAGTTTACATATTTCTTTTGTTCAAATTTATAATCTAGTGAAGTAAATTTTAACATGAATGTGTTGTAATTAGGTCTCACCACTTAGACCTATTGTATTTGTTCTGATTATTTTTTTTTTTTCTTCACCAAACCCTTTTCTTGCGGTATAAAATTGTTTCGCAAGATGTTGCTTAGATATTATTTTGTATATGATATCGAACAGTTATTGCGCTTTTTAAACATCTCTCTAAGGTGAAGACTTTTTTATTGTAAGAGTTATCTCCCCAAACACTTTTACTTGTGAGTGTATCTCCTCCGTAACCAAAAAAGATAACGACAAAATTCTTTTTCATATTTGTTCGTTACATCCTCTGAAATTTTTGGCTGATTTGGATTGAAGCGATCCAGTGAAATTTGATAGGAGTTATCTACCTTTATCAATTATATTTGTCGTTATGTTTTTGTAACTCATAAACCGTAAGCCGTATAAACCTAAAGTCTTTTTATTTGAGGTCCTTGGGGCCTAACTTAGAAAATGAGGTCAAGGTCATGTTCTCAATTTTGTTTTTTGCTTGTTTTTGCATTTTCTTTGATATTTTTAACGTCATATAAAAGAACTAGTGCAAAATGTTTGTTTTATTATGATGAAGATATGATACATTTGGTCTGAAACAATCCATTGACATGTTATAGGAGTTATTGCCCCTGAAATGTTTAATTTTAAGGTAAATTGATTATTACTTCAGATTGGTACATGCTAAAGCAATAAGGTCTTTTAGAAAAAGTTGTGACATGACCTTGAAAAATATCAACCGGAAGTGACCTTGGGTGAACCGGAAGTAGTCATTTTTGCACTTATTTTATGTAAAAATATATAGAAACCATATATTTTTTGAATGGTCATACATTAACCTATCATTTGAGACCAGAAGTGACATTTTATAGACCGGAAATAGCATATTATCTCCCTTATTACATGCACAAGTATATACAAACTATATATTTTGAGAATTAGTGTGAATAAAGATATCGAATGAGAACGGAAGTTACATTTTCTAAACCAGAAGTTGACAATTATCTCCCTTATTTCAGGCAAAAGTCTATAGAAACCGTATATTTTTTGAATCAGTATGAAGAAACCTATGATTGGACGCCAATAGTAGCTTTGAGTAAACCAGAAGTAGCTTCTTATCAATTATTCAGAAAACTAATGGTGAAAAAAAAACCCTTTCTTTGAACAATTGGTTTTTAATTGTAAATATACTTGTGTCCAATTTAGGATTTGACATAAAATACGAGTGACATTTATTTTATAATTGATTGTAACAGCCATTAGTCTCTATTTGAAGCTGATACTAATTGATGATTTTTTTTTTTTCAGAAACAGCCTAAATATGTTACACTTCTAGACAATGAGGCTTTCATGGTATATAGCACACAGAGATTTGAATCATGTAGGTATTTGGTCATTATATTTGTACTTTTAACTCTTTTTATATGTGTTGGGTAACAAAAAAAAAGCTGATGTTATGTTATAGGTTTTGTTGGAAACAGCCGAAATATGTTGCACTCCTAGACAGAGAAGATGGAGTCATGGCAGATATGAAGAGTCAACATGTAAGTATTTGGTCATTACAATTGTACTTAAAACTATGTTAATATTTGGAAGTCAATAAAAATCTGTTTTCACTGAAACAATAGCTTAAAATTTTATTACAAATGGGTCTAAAATATCTTATTCGAATTTCAAATGTGGTATATTTTAATAAGAATGAAAGAGTAATTGTAAATTAATTGTCCATAATTTAAGATTTGACATGAAACATGAATCACATTAATTTTTTAATTTTTTCAACAGCCATTAAATATTCTCTAAAGCTGATGTTAATTCAATTTTTTTCTTTTGTAAAAGATACAGCCCAGATATGTTCCACTCCCACACATTCAAGATGGTTTCGTGGTAGATGGCACATGAGGATGTTTAACATGTAAGTATTTAGTCATTACAATTGTACTTTAGACTATGTATGTGTTGGGTAATAAATATCAGTTTTCCCTGGAACAACGGCTTAAATAAAATTTTATTTCAAATTAGTTTACATATTTCTTTTGTTCAAATTTATAATCTAGTGAAGTAAATTTTAACATGAATGTGTTGTAATTAGGTCTCACCACTTAGACCTATTGTATTTGTTCTGATTATTTTTTTTTTTTCTTCACCAAACCCTTTTCTTGCGGTATAAAATTGTTTCGCAAGATGTTGCTTAGATATTATTTTGTATATGATATCGAACAGTTATTGCGCTTTTTAAACATCTCTCTAAGGTGAAGACTTTTTTATTGTAAGAGTTATCTCCCCAAACACTTTTACTTGTGAGTGTATCTCCTCCGTAACCAAAAAAGATAACGACAAAATTCTTTTTCATATTTGTTCGTTACATCCTCTGAAATTTTTGGCTGATTTGGATTGAAGCGATCCAGTGAAATTTGATAGGAGTTATCTACCTTTATCAATTATATTTGTCGTTATGTTTTTGTAACTCATAAACCGTAAGCCGTATAAACCTAAAGTCTTTTTATTTGAGGTCCTTGGGGCCTAACTTAGAAAATGAGGTCAAGGTCATGTTCTCAATTTTGTTTTTTGCTTGTTTTTGCATTTTCTTTGATATTTTTAACGTCATATAAAAGAACTAGTGCAAAATGTTTGTTTTATTATGATGAAGATATGATACATTTGGTCTGAAACAATCCATTGACATGTTATAGGAGTTATTGCCCCTGAAATGTTTAATTTTAAGGTAAATTGATTATTACTTCAGATTGGTACATGCTAAAGCAATAAGGTCTTTTAGAAAAAGTTGTGACATGACCTTGAAAAATATCAACCGGAAGTGACCTTGGGTGAACCGGAAGTAGTCATTTTTGCACTTATTTTATGTAAAAATATATAGAAACCATATATTTTTTGAATGGTCATACATTAACCTATCATTTGAGACCAGAAGTGACATTTTATAGACCGGAAATAGCATATTATCTCCCTTATTACATGCACAAGTATATACAAACTATATATTTTGAGAATTAGTGTGAATAAAGATATCGAATGAGAACGGAAGTTACATTTTCTAAACCAGAAGTTGACAATTATCTCCCTTATTTCAGGCAAAAGTCTATAGAAACCGTATATTTTTTGAATCAGTATGAAGAAACCTATGATTGGACGCCAATAGTAGCTTTGAGTAAACCAGAAGTAGCTTCTTATCAATTATTCAGAAAACTAATGGTGAAAAAAAAACCCTTTCTTTGAACAATTGGTTTTTAATTGTAAATATACTTGTGTCCAATTTAGGATTTGACATAAAATACGAGTGACATTTATTTTATAATTGATTGTAACAGCCATTAGTCTCTATTTGAAGCTGATACTAATTGATGATTTTTTTTTTTTCAGAAACAGCCTAAATATGTTACACTTCTAGACAATGAGGCTTTCATGGTATATAGCACACAGAGATTTGAATCATGTAGGTATTTGGTCATTATATTTGTACTTTTAACTCTTTTTATATGTGTTGGGTAACAAAAAAAAAGCTGATGTTATGTTATAGGTTTTGTTGGAAACAGCCGAAATATGTTGCACTCCTAGACAGAGAAGATGGATTCATGGCAGATATGAAGAGTCAACATGTAAGTATTTGGTCATTACAATTGTACTTAAAACTATGTTTTAATATTTGGAAGTCAATAAAAATCTGTTTTCACTGAAACAATAGCTTAAAATTTTATTACAAATGGGTCTAAAATATCTTATTCGAATTTCAAATGTGGTATATTTTAATAAGAATGAAAGAGTAATTGTAAATTAATTGTCCATAATTAAAGATTTGACATGAAACATGAATCACATTAATTTTTTAATTTTTTCAACAGCCATTAAATATTCTCTAAAGCTGATGTTAATTCAATTTTTTTCTTTTGTAAAAGATACAGCCCAGATATGTTCCACTCCCACACATTCAAGATGGTTTCGTGGTAGATGGCACATGAGGATGTTTAACATGTAAGTATTTAGTCATTACAATTGTACTTTAGACTATGTATGTGTTGGGTAATAAATATCAGTTTTCCCTGGAACAACAGCTTAAATAAAATTTTATTTCAAATTAGTTTACATATTTCTTTTGTTCAAATTTATAATCTATTGAAGTAAATTTTAACATGAATGTGTTGTAATTAGGTCTCACCACTTAGACCTATTGTATTTGTTCTGATTATTTTTTTTTTTTCTTCACCAAACCCTTTTCTTGCAGTATAAAATTGTTTCGCAAGATGTTGCTTAGATATTATTTTGTATATGATATCGAACAGTTATTGCGCTTTTTAAACATCTCTCTAAGGTGAAGACTTTTTTATTGTAAGAGTTATCTCCCCAAACACTTTTACTTGTGAGTGTATCTCCTCCGTAACCAAAAAAGATAACGACAAAATTCTTTTTCATATTTGTTCGTTACATCCTCTGAAATTTTTGGCTGATTTGGATTGAAGCTATCCAGTGAAATTTGATAGGAGTTATCTACCTTTATCAATTATATTTGTCGTTATGTTTTTGTAACTCATAAACCGTAAGCCGTATAAACCTAAAGTCTTTTTATTTGAGGTCCTTGGGGCCTAACTTAGAAAATGAGGTCAAGGTCATGTTCTCAATTTTGTTTTTTGCTTCTTTTTGCATTTTCTTTGATATTTTTAACGTCATATAAAAGAACTAGTGCAAAATGTTTGTTTTATTATGATGAAGATATGATACATTTGGTCTGAAACAATCCATTGACATGTTATAGGAGTTATTGCCCCTGAAATGTTTAATTTTAAGGTAAATTGATTATTACTTCAGATTGGTACATGCTAAAGCAATAAGGTCTTTTAGAAAAAGTTGTGACATATGACCTTGAAAATATCAACCGGAAGTGACCTTGGGTGAACCGGAAGTAGTCATTTTTGCACTTATTTTATGTAAAAATATATAGAAACCATATATTTTTTGAATGGTCATACATTAACCTATCATTTGAGACCAGAAGTGAAATTTTATAGACCGGAAATAGCATATTATCTCCCTTATTACATGCACAAGTATATACAAACTATATATTTTTGAGAATTAGTGTGAATAAAGATATTGAATGAGAACGGAAGTTACATTTTCTAAACCAGAAGTTGACAATTATCTCCCTTATTTCAGGCAAAAGTCTATAGAAACCGTATATTTTTTGAATCAGTATGAAGAAACCTATGATTGGACGCCAATAGTAGCTTTGAGTAAACCAGAAATAGCTTCTTATCAATTATTCAGAAAACTAATGTTGAAAAAAAAAACCTTTCTTTGAACAATTGGTTTTTAATTGTAAATATACTTGTGTCCAATTTAGGATTTGACATAAAATACGAGTGACATTTATTTTATAATTGATTGTAACAGCCATTAGTCTCTATTTGAAGCTGATACTAATTGATGATTTTTTTTTTTCAGAAACAGCCTAAATATGTTACACTTCTAGACAATGAGGCTTTCATGGTATATAGCACACAGATTTGAATCATGTAGGTATTTGGTCATTATATTTGTACTTTTAACTCTTTTTATATGTGTTGGGTAACAAAAAAAAAGCTGATGTTATGTTATAGGTTTTGTTGGAAACAGCCGAAATATGTTGCACTCCTAGACAGAGAAGATGGAGTCATGGCAGATATGAAGAGTCAACATGTAAGTATTTGGTCATTACAATTGTACTTAAAACTATGTTAATATTTGGAAGTCAATAAAAATCTGTTTTCACTGAAACAATAGCTTAAAATTTTATTACAAATTGGTCTAAAATATCTTATTCGAATTTCAAATGTGGTATATTTTAATAAGAATGAAAGAGTAATTGTAAATTAATTGTCCATAATTTAAGATTTGACATGAAACATGAATCACATTATTTTTTTAATTTTTTCAACAGCCATTAAATATTCTCTAAAGCTGATGTTAATTCAATTTTTTTCTTTTGTAAAAGATACAGCCCAGATATGTTCCACTCCCACACATTCAAGATGGTTTCGTGGTAGATGGCACATGAGGATGTTTGACATGTAAGTATTTAGTCATTACAATTGTACTTTAGACTATGTATGTGTTGGGTAATAAATATCAGTTTTCCCTGGAACAACAGCTTAAATAAAATTTTATTTCAAATTAGTTTACATATTTCTTTTGTTCAAATTTATAATCTAGTGAAGTAAATTTTAACATGAATGTGTTGTAATTAGGTCTCACCACTTAGACCTATTGTATTTGTTCTGATTATTATTTTTTTTTTCTTTACCAAACCCTTTTCTTGCGGTATAAAATTGTTTCGCAAGATGTTCCTTAGATATTATTTTGTATATGATATCGAACAGTTATTGCGCTTTTTAAACATCTCTCTAAGGCAAAGACTTTTTTATTGTAAGAGTTATCTCCCCAAACACTTTTACTTGTGAGTGTATCTCCTCCGTAACCAAAAAAGATAACGACAAAATTCTTTTTCATATTTGTTCGTTACATCCTCTGAAATTTTTGGCTGATTTGGATTGAAGCGATCCAGTGAAATTTGATAGGAGTTATCTACCTTTATCAATTATATTTGTCGTTATGTTTTTGTAACTCATAAACCGTAAGCCGTATAAACCTAAAGTCTTTTTATTTGAGGTCCTTGGGGCCTAACTTAGAAAATGAGGTCAAGGTCATGTTCTCAATTTTGTTTTTTGCTTGTTTTTGCATTTTCTTTGATATTTTTAACGTCATATAAAAGAACTAGTGCAAAATGTTTGTTTTATTATGATGAAGATATGATACATTTGGTCTGAAACAATCCATTGACATGTTATAGGAGTTATTGCCCCTGAAATGTTTAATTTTAAGGTAAATTGATTATTACTTCAGATTGGTACATGCTAAAGCAATAAGGTCTTTTAGAAAAAGTTGTGACATATGACCTTGAAAATATCAACCGGAAGTGACCTTGGGTGAACCGGAAGTAGTCATTTTTGCACTTATTTTATGTAAAAATATATAGAAACCATATATTTTTTGAATGGTCATACATTAACCTATCATTTGAGACCAGAAGTGAAATTTTATAGACCGGAAATAGCATATTATCTCCCTTATTACATGCACAAGTATATACAAACTATATATTTTTGAGAATTAGTGTGAATAAAGATATCGAATGAGAACGGAAGTTACATTTTCTAAACCAGAAGTTGACAATTATCTCCCTTATTTCAGGCAAAAGTCTATAGAAACCGTATATTTTTTGAATCAGTATGAAGAAACCTATGATTGGACGCCAATAGTAGCTTTGAGTAAACCAGAAGTAGCTTCTTATCAATTATTCAGAAAACTAATGTTGAAAAAAAAAACCCTTTCTTTGAACAATTGGTTTTTAATTGTAAATATACTTGTGTCCAATTTAGGATTTGACATAAAATACGAGTGACATTTATTTTATAATTGATTGTAACAGCCATTAGTCTCTATTTGAAGCTGGTACTAATTGATGATTTTTTTTTTTTTCAGAAACAGCCTAAATATGTTACACTTCTAGACAATGAGGCTTTCATGGTATATAGCACACAGAGATTTGAATCATGTAGGTATTTGGTCATTATATTTGTACTTTTAACTCTTTTTATATGTGTTGGGTAACAAAAAAAAAGCTGATGTTATGTTATAGGTTTTGTTGGAAACAGCCGAAATATGTTGCACTCCTAGACAGAGAAGATGGAGTCATGGCAGATATGAAGAGTCAACATGTAAGTATTTGGTCATTACAATTGTACTTAAAACTATGTTAATATTTGGAAGTCAATAAAAATCTGTTTTCACTGAAACAATAGCTTAAAATTTTATTACAAATTGGTCTAAAATATCTTATTCGAATTTCAAATGTGGTATATTTTAATAAGAATGAAAGAGTAATTGTAAATTAATTGTCCATAATTTAAGATTTGACATGAAACATGAATCACATTAATTTTTTAATTTTTTCAACAGTCATTAAATATTCTCTAAAGCTGATGTTAATTCAATTTTTTTCTTTTGTAAAAGATACAGCCCAGATATGTTCCACTCCCACACATTCAAGATGGTTTCGTGGTAGATGGCACATGAGGATGTTTGACATGTAAGTATTTAGTCATTACAATTGTACTTTAGACTATGTATGTGTTGGGTAATAAATATCAGTTTTCCCTGGAACAACAGCTTAAATAAAATTTTATTTCAAATTAGTTTACATATTTCTTTTGTTCAAATTTATAATCTAGTGAAGTAAATTTTAACATGAATGTGTTGTAATTAGGTCTCACCACTTAGACCTATTGTATTTGTTCTGATTATTATTTTTTTTTTCTTCACCAAACCCTTTTCTTGCGGTATAAAATTGTTTCGCAAGATGTTCCTTAGATATTATTTTGTATATGATATCGAACAGTTATTGCGCTTTTTAAACATCTCTCTAAGGCAAAGACTTTTTTATTGTAAGAGTTATCTCCCCAAACACTTTTACTTGTGAGTGTATCTCCTCCGTAACCAAAAAAGATAACGACAAAATTCTTTTTCATATTTGTTCGTTACATCCTCTGAAATTTTTGGCTGATTT